CGCACGGTCGACGCGCAAAAAAGGAAGCGTCAGAACCGCCGGCCGCTTAAAACTGCTCTCCTAACCCAATGACAAACCAAAGCAGCTACCGACCAATGTGTTTCGTGTCGACTATAAATCCAAATCTCACCGCAGTTCGTGTTGGCTGGCAATGTACGCTGCTTTCTAATTAGGTGCTGTAATAGTGGAGCCGTGCGTGAGTGCAGTCTATGTGCATTTAAACACAGACACGCACACAGACACACACAACCCGATCAGCCAGTGAGACTTTTTTTCTGACCGGGCACGGTACTCATTTCATGCAGGACGGAAGTACATCAAGACAAGATGAAAAGTTTGAAAGAAGGGTGTATATAGATTTTGGGGGAAAATGTTCAGAAGAGATGACAAGCGTTTTCTACAAACGTGTGACATGTGGCAATTATGAGCAAGTTATGAGCGACTGAAGGTTTTTGTCATACATGTTGACTGTAATTTAGAGGTTCCTTTGATGTCAAGTAGCCTTTTTCCCCGAACCTGTATACAGCCTCGGTGTGTGCACTTCTATACGTGCGCTTGTGTGAGTGTTGAAGGAAGTCGAAAGCCCGGTTTCCCATGCGTGTAATCATCCCAGGATGAGGTGGAGGATGAAGCCGTGCGGGACTTCCCCTGCACCAGAGGGTATTTTCCTCTTCCAATGTGGTACAGGCACATGGCTGACCTCGGCCGCATCCGTGTGTGAGCAAAGACTCAAAGGCACGCGCGCTGTTCTTTATCTGTCCTGGCATCTGACACAGTCAATGATCGGCAAATCGGCGAGAGAGTCATCATGGTCATGACAAATTGCATGAGATGAGCTGCACGCGGTTTCCCACCAAGAATGGTTTGACGAGTCTACGTTGATGGAAAAGTGATAGACAGAAGTCAAAATGAAATGTAAAGCCGTACGTAGATTGTGGTAGACCTGCACGATAAAAATCTGCCTTAGAAGTCAGTGTGTGTAAATGAGCTGAATGCTGAGACAAGGATTCTTCCTGACTTTTAAGTTACTCTGTATTTTAACACCCAATTTACAAAACCGTGCTCTTCAAATATGTAAACAGATCTAAGTATGCTGCAGACTCGCTGCAAACCACCAAAATAATAATTACCACACTGTCAAACTGGTAACTCTTTCACTGTGTTAGTCAAAAGTAGTCATTATCGACAAATGAGTCAGATGAGAAGCAAGTGTAAATTTGTCCCACGTAGACGTCTCTACTTCTCTCCGAACCGAGCAGCGCACGCAACGTACCAACTTGAGCGGCATTACAGGACTACTGTCCCTCTAGGAGCAGTCTGCGCACTCTGAGAATGTGAACATGCAGAAAGTGTGGGGACCATGTGTATGTATATGCAGGCGTGAGCAAGTGAGGACAGACACTTCTGTGTTGTGACTCCACCACAAGAGTCCAAGAAGTTGTTCTATCATCTATTCATAGCCGCTTCACTGAATCATCTCCTGTTGCTGAAAGCTGCCTGACCCGAGCCCAGCTTCACTTCATCGTGATTAACATAAACCGTCTTACAGGGTAGGTCCTCCAGCAAGCACAACCAAGAGAGTGGAAAATTAATCCGGACATAAAGTTATGAGTTCATGCGTAATACCACATACATACAGGTCAGGGCATTTTGGCGCTGGAGCCAGAGAAACAACACCATAACAGATACATTTAGCGTGTGAGTAAATTGGATGTGTCTATATTTCACTTCAATCAATCTGCATATATTCTAATTATGATTCAAGTGGCAAACAGCGGAAACTGTGGATGAAAGACCATATTGTACAAGAGCATAAAATGCAGCAGATTATGGAAACAATCACAGCCAATGGCAATACGTGACTTTCTCACGCGCACGCACGCACGCACGCAAACACACACACACACGCACGCACGCACGCACGCATGCACGCACGCACGCACGCACACATCGAATGAATTGCAACGAGTGAGTCTCACACAAGGCTTCCATGAAAGGCATGTGTGCACACATTGCCCACATGCCTGCTTCGCCTCACCACTGCCAGGGAACCCAAAAGCCTCTACAAAACAAATTCATTAACCCGGACAATAAAACACAGCTGTGAGGGACGATGGGAACTGTTTGAAATCAGTGCGCGGGATTGTGGGGAATCTGTTCAAGTCAAACAGCATGTTCTCAAAATGAGTGGGAAGGAAAAGAAAGGAAAAAACAGACTTAGAAGTAGGCGACACTGAGGAAGAAGCAATGTTTAATCCAAACTGCTGACGGAGCAGAGATGCTTTTCAAGCTTTCCTAAAACATAATAAGGCACTGTTTTTAATAGAATGTTAATAGTATGTTTGAACAACATGTAGAAATGAAGTACAACCTAAACTGTCAAATACTATAAACACCACCCATGAAAATGTAATGTACAAATATAACCTTTGCAAATACAATTTTTTACATCATGGAAACTACCAAATGGAAATGCCGTGAATCTTTTGAACTTCTTTGTAAGTCGTGAGCCGAGGCCCAGCAACTATTGTCTTCTGTTCTGAGTGCATCAAAAGCTTTTACTCTTGCAACTTCCAACAGCAAACAATGCCAGAGTACACACGACTGATAGGATTGTTTTGGTGTGGCGAGTCTAATGCATTAACAGGGGTGGGACAGATTTTTGGCACAGCAGATTTGGTAGCGAGAAGACAGCCTTTGAGTTGGTGGTGGGGGGAGAGAGACGCTGTGATCAAACACACCAGCAGAGGGCCTCGTAGCTTGCACAATGGGCTCCTGCTGATTGACCAACAAATGCTGGACTATTATGGCATTCTCCGCTCCTGCCTGTGCCAAGAGAGCGGCAAGAGGCAGTTCACAAAGGACTCACACCCCTTACACAGATGACGATGCGGATAGTTTAAACAAGCGGGGCCAAAAATCCAAATCCAGACCATATTTACTGTGAATGACATTCATGCGTGCTATGCTAAGATCGTTATGATAGAAATAATTACTGTGAGAAACAAGTTCACAGCAATAAAAGCATTTAACCAACATAGGTGGAAATGTTTTTACTGAACCTTTAAAGGAGGCATATTATCCATTTCCCCCAAATTATTGTAAAACAATACCTCAAATGTCATTTACGGCATACTTAGGACCCCACCCTCACCATCCATATTTTTTTATGTTGTTGTTGTTATTGTCTCGCTGAAATTGGCGTGTTTCGTAGGGGTGGTCCTGTCTCATCAAAGAAGACACTGCTTTTTCTGCCTCCTTATACTGCTGGGCCAATGCGGAGTATAGGCCAGGGCTACTACTAGTAGCCCAGTGAAGAAAGCAATTTTCACTTGTGGAGGCAGCACTTCCATCCCAACTTCCTGTTATCAATTAGTATGACAGATGTGTGCACCTTGCAGACATAAAGGCCCAAAGCACCCATCCCCGTCTGCTGGGTGACAACTTTGCCAAGCATTACCATAAATGTTAACTATCGGAAGAGAACACTGGTTATGTTGTTAGCTATTGCAAATCTGTGGTAACACTCCAACTTCGCTTATCTTCTGGTTAAGACATGGCACTCTGGCTGCCAAATCATGGGTAAAGAAACTTCGAGTAGGGGCTGCACTATGTAAATTAGTCACACTGTTACTCCACAATGGGCAAAATCCAATCTATCTAATATTTGTGTATTCACCGAGGTGTGTAAATAGTACTAAAGTGACACAAATGTGTATTTTGAACATACTTGGGCCAAAGATGACTGATTCTGATCAAGCGTTGGGGAATGGATAACCACTTTCCGATCAACATTTTTATAGCCCTCCCAGAGTAATTGTTATTCTTTCCCATCTTGCCTTGAACCTGGATGAACCTTCTTCCAGCCTTTAGCTGCCCCTCAGCAGAATCAAGCCATGAATCATTAGTAGTCAAAGGTGGGGCCTTCAAGACCAAATCAAGAGCAGATGTAAAGCTCGCACCTCCATAGGCCTGACTGTCTCAATAACAAAGGATATTCACAAGTGACTGGTCAAGTATAGTTTCAACACGCTATTATAAAAGATATGACATCAATTCATTTCACAATGCTTTAATCTTTACAGAAAAGCGAATGCCATTTTTCATATCTTAGAGAGAATTCATGAGACTTGAATTAAAACGTAAAAGTGAACCACATGTGGAGAAGCAGAATTACGCTGAAACAAACGGGGTGTTAAATGTGCTCAATTTTATTTTGTCAAGGGGTTGCACACAATAAAATCTTCTGGATGCCGATACATTTTTAAGTTCATGTATAGTCTACTTCAAAAACACGTTTCAGAATCCAGATGATTTTGTTTCAAGCAACCACCTGATGAAATACAATTGGTTAAATCCAACACACCATTTTTATTCCGTGTACTTCATGCCTGTCAGCTCACTTCTTTTCATTTCATTGCACCATGTCCTCTTTTCCATGTCCATTGCTCTTCCCTATGAGTCTCATCCTCACCACAGCTGGTAAATATTTTTATATTGTGTTCCATTAGCAAGTTTTATTGAGCGGTCAGACTGGGCAAATGGCGCCTTGTCCTGTAAACAATAGAAAAAGGCCCTGAAAGCCGCAGCTGAGCACAGCGCAGTAAACTAAAGCCACATTAGAGAACCACTGTGTGCTGAGTAAATATTTAAATGCACCCCAGTATAGGTGCTAGTTAGGGGGCGGGGATATTTCAAGAAAGATGTTTTTTTTTGTTTTTTTTTAAAATCCAAAGCCAATAGAGGTCAGTGGATAACTCAACTGAAGTTTGAATAATAATATATAACAAAACACATATGTTATACAGCATAACATACTGTATAGGATAAAAGGTAGTACCTGTATATGGATGATTTATGTTGCAGCAGCATCTTCAGGTTAACAAATTAGCAGAGTCAACAAAACTATGTTGACACTTTTTTTTTTTTTTTTTTTTTTTGGTAAAAGGACAGTGAATGAATGATGGGGAAAAGCAACTGCTGTGCTGGTGGGTGGGTACCTCAGTGCCTTGCAAAGGCATGTCCATGCCTCCGAGGTTGTCTCTGAGAAGCTGTTGAAGGAGGTGCACCTGAGCAACGCTGAGGTAAAAATCCAGACTGCTGGTCACATTAACCTCAAGAGAATGGCCACACACCACTAAGTCCTACAAAGGAACGACAGTTCAAATTGCAAATCAATCTTTGAAGCAGAATACTGGAGATGAAAATTCAGAAACAATGTCAAGGATTATACTTGTGTTTGATGCATTCTATCTAATATCTGATACGTGCGTGTGTGTGTGTGTGTGTGTGTATATATATATATATACACACACACACACACGCACACGCACACACACACACACGCACACGCACACACACACACACGCACACGCACACACACACACACACACACACACACATAAATCATAATTCCTCCAAGTTAGTTCCGACATCCAAATCCTTGGGAGTTGAACACATCATATTTTGTACGTCAGTGCAAATTATGAATTAACTGATATGCATTGTCAAGCGTGGAGAAAGTAGGCATCAAAGAGGCAGGAAGTTGGAGTGAGCTGTGCCAGAAAACATCAGCTGTATAAGCAGGGGTTTGAACTCTGTGGGTCAAAAGCCTCCATTACATGATTTTCTGGCTGTGGGATTCCTAATGAGGGACTTACTCTATGTAAAGAGGCAAAAGTCGACTATGTCTGACATCTCCCCAAATCAACAACAGAGAGCAAAGTCTGCTGTATGGATTCTAACAAGGTCAAGGTCCAATAAGGTGCCACTAATGAACAAACTTTTACTGAATTATGAATCCAACTTTCCGTGATATAAACTAAAAGACAGCATAGACATGCTTTGCGCGGAGTCCACTGACCTCTGCTTGTCCAGTATCAACGGAGACATTCTTGCTGAAGATGATGGCGGGGGCAGCAGTCACTCGGACAGAGAAATCAGTCACAATGGGTGTCAGGATGGCCCGACGCTCCTGGTGCCTCCTGATACTACACAAATACAAAACAATGGTTCAATATTAGGGCTCCAAAAAATACTGCAATGGGAAAATCGGTTTTGAATTAAAAGATATGAGTGTTTCAAATTAAATTAAATGGAATGGTTCCACTTTAAAATACACTGCCCTTCATAATTATTGGCATACTTGGTTAAGATGTGTTCTCCAGCTTCTAATGCATTCATTTTTTTCCTGAAAAAAATATAGCACAAAAAAAAAAGGGGAAAATCCAGTTTTTAATTCAAGTACAATTAATCAATGTGGTGGGGGGGAAACTCCCACCAAAAGAAATAATTGTTTTTACGTCAAATCATGTGTGCCACAATTGTAAGCACCGTTGCTGTTAGCACAACTACCGTTTGCCAACAAAACAGCCCCTATTTGTCTTCTATAATGTTTCACAAGATGGAAGAACACAAGCGAGAGGAATCTTCCACCATTCCTCTTTACACAATTTGTCAAAATCATCCAGTGACTTGGGTCCCCTTCTCTGCATTGTCCTCTTTAGGCCACTCCACAGGTTTTCAATGGGGTTGAGGTCTGGGGACTGACATGGCCATAGGAGATCTCAGATAACAACCAATCACGGCTCACCTGTTTTCTGAAGGTGAGCTGTGATTGGTCGTTACCCGAGCCCTGAGCAACTGTAATGTGAGTTTCAGTCGACAAGTGGCAAAATGACCGCGCCCTGAGATGGACAATATGGGTGGATTTTACTGCTTAGCTCATATTTCCACAAACACAATATGAATCAGAATGCTGTATTTAGATCAGTGGAAGCGTATCGAACAGATTGTGAAGAATATTTTGTGGTTGACTTCCCCTTAAAAGCATCAGAAAACTGTTTTAAATTGTGCATAAAAGCAAATGTATATGCGCCTTGAATGAATACATTGTAATTGCAAAGAATTTGTAGTTTCTGTGAATTAAACATCACACCAATGATATTTTAGATTGATGTGAAAATGGCGTTTCAAAAAAAAAAAAAACAACTTTTTTAACCCCTGCAAATTAACCTCAAACAAGAGCGACAAAATATTAGAGGGCTCTCAGTATGAGTCAGTGCAGTTCTATGTCTTTGCAAACTAAAACCGCACAGCAATCAAATGTGATTATTGTTACAATTGTTTTGGTTTGTGAAGATTTATTGACGTGCATTTTACCAATTGAGCTGAAATGCTATCATAAGGACAAAAAAGTTCCAACTATCAGTGATGTCATTTTCGTCCATGCTTATGGACTTAATAGTTGCATGAGTACAATATTGAAATTTGTTACTCAACACATTTTAGCTGGAAGCACGACCACGGTTAGACACATAGTGAGACATTATTTGACAAGTCCCAGTTGGGAACAACCTTTAATTGTTTACACAAGATCAAACTGAGACCTTCTCACATCAGCTTTCTTCATTTCACTAATGCACATTCCCACAATCAAGTCATATTTGTGGGAACATTTGTTAGCAGTAAAACAAATATACAGACCCGTTTTATAAGGTGGTGTTAATTGCCACATCTGCTGCTATTAAAACAATCATGCTGTATGGCTTACAATATTTATAGTGGGCCGGGATTATAAAAAGCCCTGTTTCTAGGTGGCCTGGAGTCCAGTCCTCGGCCCGAACCGCTATCATTTTCACTTCTCCAATACAAATGTGCATTACTGCTGCCCTCAAGTATTTTCTGACACATTTCTTTGAATGGCAAGCGAAAGAGGTTTAATTCAGAGGTGAAATGATCCATGAGGGCAATTGGTGTTAGCTAATCTCTCCTCAGACAGGGATTGAAACAATGAGTGTCTCGTTGCAGGGGACAGGTGCTATCATTCACCAGAAAGGCAAAAACGCATAGGGCTCAGTTTACCAGTAATATACGAGGGCCTCTGACATTGAGCCGTGTGTGTGTCTCCGTACACCTTGGAGTGGACGTGGTGGAAACACGAATACATGGAAAGCGTGGCTTTTATTTTCTGCAAAACCAAACAGCAGCAATATCAGTGGCATGTGCAAAATGAGAGAAGCTTGACAAGCCGAAAGATGGAGAGAGTTCACAGCACCCTAACAAAGGCTCTTTCCTATCCAGCAACTACACACTGGGATGAGGACAGATCCTGTCAGTGGATCCATGGTGCTGGAATTTCCTCACAAAACCTCAGGAAGCTGACTGAGGCAACTGCTGATCCAAAACTACTGGAACTCTAGTGAACCCAAAAAAAACTGTAGAGGGAATACGCTTCGAGTCTCCAAAGTAGGAGAGATTGCGAGGGTATTGATGTCGAAAACAAGGGCAAGGTGAGAACTTGGGAAGTGCCGGGCGTTAAATCTTGTTACAAGTGAGGCGTTGAAGTTTTTTTGTGAATACAGGAGACAAGTAAAGCTGTGAACTTGACTCTTTTTATTCCTTAAAGGGTGGTTGTGCCTGTGTAGATTATGTTGTGAGAGTTACACGGGAGGGGGTGATCACTGCCTTGTGTGAAACCTAGGCGAAGACAAAGTAGCAAATTCTATTGAGATTAATATAGATAATTGAAGACATTTACATTAGGTCATTCATTTGTATGATGTGCCATAAAAAAAGAAACAGAATACAATGATTTTGTAATCCTTTACAATTACCACTATATTGAATTGATTACACAACAAAGACAAGACATTTAATGTTCAAACCGATGAACATTACAGTTTAATTTTTCAAAATGTTTTTTGATTTCGAATTTGATGCCTTCATGATTTTCCCAAGTGGAAAGAGCTGAATGCCTTGAGCGGGTCTAAAAGGAGCATCCTCGAAAGACTTCACAAACAAACGAGGATAGGGCAAGGTCCAGCACTTGGTAAACAACTACATAAGCAAATATTCAACGTGATACATTTGCAAGAAATTTGGAGATTTCATCATTTGTGGTCGGAATATCATCAAAAGATTCATAGAATCTGAAGAAATCAAGGCCGAAAACCAACGCTGAATGCCTGTCACCTTTGATCCCTCACGCAACACGATTAAAAACTGGCAGTTTTATATGAGATAATGCCATGTGGGCTCAGGAAGACTTCAGAAAACACTGTCTCGACATCAACAAACTCAAGTTAAAACTCTACCATGCAAAGTAAAAGCCGCTCATCAACATCAACCGGCTTCGCGGAACAAGCTCATCCGATATAGACTGATGCAAAGTGGAAAATTTGCTGTGGTCTGACGAGCCCACATTATATATATATATATATCATGGACATATGAATCATGGACATCATGTCCTCAAAGCCAGAAAGAAAATGGATCATCAAGATTGTTATCAGCGAAAAAAAACAACAACAACAAAAAAAAACAACCCGTGATGGGGAAGTGTTTGGAAAACTGCACGATGTTCGGTTCAACCCAAAAAGATTGGGGTCTCTCCGATTTTGAAAATGAGCTCGGATCTTAAAAATCTTTGTACAAACTAAGCTTTAGATGGCCTGCATCTACAGTATGTTCTGAGGACCAGACACAAATCAGGCCGGCATTGATTTTGCGCTGCACTATTCCACGCTTGTTTTTAGTTGAGAGGACAAATCTGAATTCTTTGCCCATGATTGTCTGATTTTTATGACTCTGTTCCCTCACAAAACATGAGTGGAAAAACCATTGTGTGAGGCCAAACAGGCTGCAACGCTTCATGCTTGTTTTAACTCCCAACCCCATAAAAATAAATAAAATGTAAAAAACATCAAAGATATAATTACGTGTTCAGAGAGGCTCCATTAAAAGGGAGAGCTACCTCAAAGATGACATACAGCTCCCACATCAATATTTTGGAGATAAATTACGGGGCATTTATTGCAGGCACCCCATATCACCAAAAAAGTATTAGAAGAATAAATCAATACCAAGCAAAATGAAAACATTAAATGATATTGTTGCCCAAATTGTGCATTCTTTCATTCATGACAACCATTGCAGATATTATTATCGATACGTTTAAAATTTGTGCATTGATGTACAGTCAGTACAAATGTTAACTCTTGATCGTGAGACAAAAACAGATTTCGATTTACTGTTCACAACTTTAACTACACCTGAATTATCCAATGCAAAGTTGTGCAGAATGGAGATTTTACTCCGTCTTCAAATTCCCACTTTAGCCTTTTGCCAGAGCAAATGCCACAACACCATCAGACGGCATCTGTGACTCACAATTAACAACAGCCTCAAGTATCTTTCATCTGTCCAAAGCCAACCAGGGTTGTCCCTTTGTCAAGTAAACAGATTTACTGAACAGTAAGTCCAACGATAACTTAAAATTTCACCACTGGCTGAGCTGCCAAGCTATAAAAATATCTGGCTCTGTTTGGCGTGTTAAATGTTCAGCTTCAACTCTCACTCAGTTTCTTTGGCTAACGCATATTATGTGCATCTTGCATATGTGTTTGTGACAGCTGCCACTACGAATGATTCCACCAGACAGTTTGATGAAAAAGGTGGGGTAAAATGTGACGAATGTCTTACAAATGAAGACGGAGGTAGGCTGTCTGCACACAATAAAGCAATAATAATTCTTCTGACCTGCTGGCCATGTTCCATTCCAGGGCCGGGTTCTGAGAGTTCCTCTCACCGTCCGTGGATACACCTCCTTTTATTCCCTCCTTCTCTGGCTTGAGTTGCTCCCATTGAGCGGTGCCAATGTTGATGGACTGAAGGTCGACTTGATATTGGCGATCCTCAACCTCTGAGCCTGGGTCACGCAGGATACCAAGGTTTGATGCACGTCTTTAAAAAAAAAGGGGGGGGGTGATTACATTGTTATATTGGTGTGCAATGGAACAGAAACACACTGCAATCGTACATGAGTGTCATAGAGAATGATGTTGTATGAATTCCCCGTAGTAGGGGTGTAATGGTTTTAAGTTCCCGGTTGGGTTCCGATTCGACACAGTAAGGGAACAAAATTCCAAACATAAGGAACGGATTTAACGACATGGGGGGGAAAAAAAAACATTAAAAAATGCCTACTACCAGCAATATCTTCTGCAATTAAAGAAAGATTTTCAAATAAAACAAAGTGTGCAATAACACATAAAACACAAATATCTCACAACATAAAAGCGCTTGCCTTAAGTCTTTTGGGGTTTGTTTTGTTTTGTTTTGTTTTGTTTTTGAAGGAAAGTGCTAAATCAACTGCATTCATTTTGGCAAAATGAATATTAACATATTTGCTTTGGTTTGAATCGACAGAGAGACTATGTGAAGGTTCCAGACCAGTCTGGAAAAGGAGCAGATCCCAAAAACGCAGACCAGGACTGAATCGATTACAAAAATACTTTATTACAACAAATCAGGTTGCAAGACCGACAAAGTACAACTTAAAATGCTGGGATAACCCAGGATAAGAATGCAACTAACAAAAAGGGCTTGCAAAAAGCAAGGGAAATAAAATACGCAAAATCGAACTCAAAAAGCCAACTAATGATCAAAACACAAACGTACCGAGGCTAACATTACTAAAACCAAAACAGAGCCAACAAGGCGAACCAACAAGAATTACTAAACGAGACCAGTACTAAGATCGAGAATGACGAAGCTCTAGAAAATAAACGCTTGGACGTGAGCAAGGTGACTATTCCGACAACCGGTTAGGGCTTGAACAGTCCCTTATAACAGGTGAGAGTTGATGACATGATGGGAAACAGGTGCGGAACGGGAGGGTACGACACTCCGAATGCCACCTGCTGGAGAAAGACGGAACAGAATCATGACAGGCTGTAAGTTGCGTTTGCGCCGTGATAGTATTTAATTTTTTTTTCTGCTGCACTAACATTGTGCAAAGTAATGCAATCTCAAAAGCATATTTGCTAGCCACGACTTCCCCTTGCCAGACGCTTAGCAACACAGTATTTGTTTACAGCGTAGCGAATGATTAGAGCGCAAAGCCATTCCTGTCCATCACCTTATATGTTCGGCATACCCAAAATATGAATACAAATATCAACATTCCATCCCTACCACATAGAATACATAGTTTCATAGCTGAAGAAATTGGACAGGGGCTTTCTCACAGTAAAACATCTTGTCCTTTGTCCAATAAGTAGTTCGGTATTCTTAACAGAACAAGAAAAAACCGTAGCGTTCTTAAGAAGACTACCACTACAGACTTTTTCATCAAGTTGAGGTGAATGCCACCTTATTTTTGGCAGAAAACGTTGCGTGGCAAAACAGCACCATCGTTTTCAGAGTGTGGCTTGACTACCCCACTTTTTCTTTTTAGTGACCGCTATAGTATAATATAAGAGCCGGACACAAACACAAATCTGGCAAGAGATGGAGGGACACATCAGGAGTGGGTCTGGGCGGCTCAGTCGTTGAACTGCTACAAACAAGCCTTCCAGCAGTGCCAAGGAAAGATGATGCACTCCGCAGACAAGATGCGCATGAATTCACAAAGCAAAAAGGAACAATCACAATCGAGCATCTGCTTATGACATCAGAGCCTTTGGTTTGTTATGATATGTTTATTTGTGCTGGTGAATTCAAATGAGTGCTTAAATGGAATAAATAAGAGCTTAAAATGACTACAGATGTAGTGGCAAGCTGAGTAGTTTTATTTAGTTCGGCAATGTCAATGCTAATTTTCATTCGGCGTTTTCCTTCCTCAGCCACACTCGAAAAGCCTCCACAAGTGCGTTATGTTATGACATGTGCATCCAATACAAAAAACAACAGTGATGGGAGATCAGAGGTGCATAACCAGACTTAGCTGGATTTGTTGACCCACAAACAAGTGAAACAGATCCTTAATCAACATTTGGAACCACATTTATCAACATAGTTAAATTTGAATCAAGCCAAGAACCCAAGTATGATTTGGGTGGGATGTGTCAGTCTAGATTCAATCGTTTGGT